TTGACTAACTAATTTATTTTCTAACAACGAAAGAAGAAAGTCTTTGTAACTACGGAAACCTTAACGTTCCCATAGAAACGCTGTTAGCTATGATAGAGTGCTAGCGCTCAAGTAGTTTGCCAAAGAACGAGCAGTGAAAATGGCGGCGCCAGTCGTTGCATAGGATAAAGTAGAAATCTGCTTATCGACAGCAGGTCGCTACATTTCTTATTTATTTTAGTACTGCTCTTTTTGGTAGATGGCGCTAGGTTATAAGGTCTTCATGTACTTTTAGTGCGGAGTTTTGTTGTTAGATGGCGTTAGTTGTATCGTTCTTATATTTATTAGTACAGTTTCTTTTTGTTAGATGACGCTGGCGGTTTATTTCAACTGTATGTAGTTGCAGTTCTTTTTGCTAGATGGCGTTGGGAGTTTATATTTTTTTTAAATAATTAAGTTTATTTTTATTACATGGCAATAATGGTATATTGTTATTTTTATTTAAATAATTATTTAAGTCCTTACATTGATTTAAATGTAGTTATTTTATTTATTCTAGCATTGATATACATTTTTGATTGTTATATATACTTACATTTGTAGCTGACCCTTGTTTTTTTATCAAGCATTCTGGTAGTTTATTTTTTTATTCTTTTAATATACATGATTTATAAGTGTTAAAAATTGCTTAATATAACTAAATATGTGTTTTGTGTGTGTAAAATTATTATAATAATTTATTTTAATACAATTTACTTCTTTTTTCATGGTGTATCGTAATGCAAATTTTGTATCAATTTGATATTAGCCACTAAGATATCCACAGTCTAAGAAAAGAAAGAAAGTAAAATTCATTACATGCATTTTTAGATTAAAGGGATAAGTGGCTTACATTAGTACAAACACGTCTTTTTCTTTGACTTTCCACAGTCCACAATTCATGGCTATTTAATATAGCAGCTCGAGGTATATCTTCAATATATAATCTACAAAAAAATTAAAAAACAAATTTAATTAATGGGTATTGTCTTCTTAAAGGATACATGTAATTTTAATATAAACATAATTTCTGTATATACTCACTGAAGAAGACCATACACTTGATCGTGGATCAAATTAATCGATGGAATTGTAATTATTATATTGAAATGCATGACAGTGGAAGCTTGAATAATACCACTTGCAGGTATTATATAAAAGTAATTCGTTAAATTTACTTTTTCAACTTTATTTTCTTCGTTAACTTGTACATGACGTTTATCCCAATGGAAGAACACATACATTTGGCTGCACGTAGAATATAAAATGTAAGAATTCATTCATTCCAATACAATAATGATACAAGAGCACTTGAAATATTTAAAATATATTTTACCCAGTATTAGTTATAGATATTTTCTTGTTTATAACTTCAAACTCACTCGATAAATTTGTTTGTAAATTTAAATGATAGTGAGCAACAGCTTGTGCATCGATCTTTGTCAAAAATAATATTGTCTCTTTTGATTGCTGGAAAAATATTGTTTAAAAAGTAATATATAAATCATTTCTAAAATATACTTACACTGTTAATTTGCAAGATCTGTGGCTCGTAGATAATACCATCACCGATTAATTCGATAGATTTAATCGAATAATTGTCACTAATAACGTATAATGTTTCGACCTGAAAATGATCATTATATTATTTAAGATTCTTTTGATATACATTTTGCTAAAAATTACGTGCACTCCGTAAGATTCAGGAAAGAAATATATATGAACAAATACATCCTCTTGCGTCTTCAAAACAAAATATGCTGGCCATACAGCAAAATATTGTAAAGTTAGTATATTAATATCTGTGATATCCTATAGAAAGAAATGATTATTTATTATTTTTTTATCATAATAATTATTAGAATATGTAAAAAATTACTTACTTCTATAAACATACTATACCAATCGATTTCACTTATTACAATGAACTTTCCATCTATTCCAGTGTTTCTAAATCTAATTTGAAATGCAATCTGTTCGCCAACGAAACACTTTCCGCAATCAAAAATCATGTTGGAGTAATCAACATTTGTTAACGATCTTTCACTGTAATAATATTTATCAAATTCATCGATAGTACTAGAATACTAAAAAAGGATAAGATTTTATGTATTAGGAATTAGAAGATATATGAAATAGAATATTAATAATATTATACTTGGGTTGTATATGATTCCCATGAATCACTAGACATCGTAATGCTCCGAGTTGAATACAAATTTTGTATTTGCGATTCTGCATGTTGCAAATGTGGTACAATTATTTCTAAAAGTACATAGATGCATTAGACAACGTTCTAACAATACAATGTACGATTTATTATATATAAAAAAGGAAAAAACGATTACTTTTCAGTATAGGAGGATTTCTAGTACATTGTAATTTAATATTAATAGGTCTTCCGTGTTGAACGTATACATTAATCATTTCTTCCTTCTCACAGAAATCTTCGGTGTAAAAATAAACAATTAATTTAACTTGCATTCCTGGAGCGATAAAATTACTTTTTAGTTTTTTATTTTGTACTTCAACTCGAAATTTAGAATAAAAAGTCGTAGGCTTTATTTGAAATCTTGTTAGATAATTACTCTTGTTTGTTAATATTACATTTTTCTGTAAGAAAAATAACATAAGTTTCGTAATTACAGTTGTAATAGTTGCAACCAAAACGTGTCTATATCCAATATAAATATGATGAAAATAATTTAATATCATATACGTACTCTGTATAAAGAATATCTTTGAAAATTATGGAAACAGACATGATCAGGTTTTGCTATTAAAATGGATCTATATGATTCTGTTTTGTATGTACTTTTTCTGCGTTCTTTAAATATAGTGCAATTCATTTCACTTTGTTTTCTATAATAATTTCTGCATTAATATAAGATTTATGCAATGAGGTCGCAAAAGAATGTACCTTCTCATAAATGATTCCTTTATAAAATTATTTTGAATAACTGGCTTTATCTTTATCGTCGAAGGAATAAATTTCATCAATCCAGAATATGTTTTATCAATATCATTTAATTTATATTCTACGAATTTGACTTCTGAACTATCACTGTCAATCTTGTTCTCATAGAATTTATCCTATGAAATTAGATGTTAAGATATATTAGAGTTACGTGCTGAATATAAATATATGATAACTAACAATCCATAATTTTGGTGATATTCGATATAAAATGTAATTAGAATGATTTTTAGGACATTTGTATAACATTTCCGAGGACATTTTATTCTTATACGAAATATATCTTAAGTGCAATAGTAATGATATAAAATTTATTGTATTGCTTTTCTCTATTTAAAAGATAAATAATAATAGAACAAATACAAGAGCATTATAAAATGTATGACATTTTTTAAAAAACAATTAACAAATGATCATCTGAAAAATTGTTAGAAATAAATATACGTTTTTTTCATCGTTATTAGTATATTTTATTTTATTATATAAATATATTATAGCTTATTAGAGTGTATGTATACCATAATAAATAAACAAATATATATATGTATATATATATATATATATTTGTCTTTCTATTTATCCTACAGGAAAATAAAAGTACTAAACATGTGCATAACAAATTGGTTGTTAGTATTGTTTATTTGAAACAATCTTCATATAAAGGATCAGAAATGAGCGTGTATTTACAAATGTGTTATGCAAGTAAAATCCTAGGATTTTATATTTTTATCTAATTCTTGATCGAATCAGAATTTAATATATATATTTTATTATTTTCTTTTGTGTAACGAAAATTAAACGTTATCTTGTTATCTTTTTAAATAAAAAGATACGCCTACGTGTTACACTTGAATCTAGTTTAACGCTGCGATCGATAACACCATTAAAATTTCGACGTAATGTATTTTTTTTTCTTTTCTTTGTTATATCCGTATCCATACAAAGCTACGATTACCGATACAAATATATAGTTAATATGATATCATTCTCACAAAAATCATAGTTCAAATTTTGTTTGCACTATTATTCATTTACGAAGTAAAATTCTTTTCTTTTTTCTAATTCTTCACTTTAAATAATACGCATACACATATATATATATATATATATTACTTTGAAAAAAAAACAAAATGATAATAATATACATAATACATATGCGTATATCATCGTATTGAAAAAAATCTAGTAAAAATTTCATGATTCTTAATACATAACTACAATTGCGTTTTTCTGTGTTCAAATACACATTGTATTATTACTAAAGTACTTTATAATTATTCTACCTAAGTGTTACATTAATACTAATATAATCAAATAATGTTCTATATAATTCAAAATAAAGGAATAGGCTTAATAATAAGACTTCTTTAAAGTTCCATTAAACAACCTTGTATTTTTTAAATTCTGTTGAGTTTGAGAACTTATGTGTTGCTTAAGAGAGTGCACTTATTTATGTTATAAATAAGCATACATAGTCCATGAAGCACAAGAAATGTATACAATAAGAAATAATATTGTATTTGATGATATATATATATATATATATATATTATATATGTATTATATATATATATATATAATTACACATATAAAAAAACATATATATGCAAATATATATGTTTTTGATGTAATGTAATATAATATTATATAGTATAATATAATATATCTAACTTATATAGCTTAAATAATACATACAGGATTGGAAAAAAAGGGATCCAATATTTTAAAGGCTTATATTACTTATCAAGAAGAGTAAATAGAAGTCCTGATAAGTACTATAAGTCCTTAAAATATTTAATCCTTTTTTACTACCCTGTATATTTATAGATATATATATTTAAAAATGAAAAGAAAAAAAATCATTTCATGAACTATGTTTATGCTTAATAAAAACAATTAGTTTAGTCAAACTAGGTTCAAGGTTCAAGCATAATTGACAAAATAGATAGATTTTTCAGTACATAAAAAGAAGAATGGTGAGCACCAATGTAATTGGAGTAGAATACATGGAATTATGCTCTATTATACGATATTGCAAATGTATACATTTGGACTTTGTATGCAAAGAGACAGAGACAGATAGAGTAAGAGAGAGATAATATTTTGACTAAAGCTTTGTTTAGAAAATATAAAACCCCAGATTATACCTTACTATCCTACGAGTACAACTTATTTCAAAAGCTGTATACTGCTGATGATATTGAAGTTCTGATGTTACTATCTTTGTATTGTTATTACTATTTATATAATGGAAATGAATTATAAGAATTAAAATTCCAAACGATTGTTCGAAGGAGATTAAATTTTGAAAATATTCTGAGTTAACATAAAGTCTATATAAACTTCAATATACGTGTGGAATTGAATTTTTTTTACAATTTTACCAGCACCATGTTTGTCTAGCTGGAAAACATTATTGTTTTGTTAAATGTAATTGTACGAATTAATCGTTCTTACATATATACAATCCATGGTCACCCTTAAATATAGAAGATTCATGTAAATATTTAATTCGACACAGGGGTTTGTCATTTTTCTCTTCACACATGTTTAAATGATACAAATCTTCATTTGTCAAGTTCAAGTGCAGCATATTGTTCTTCATCTACTTCAGTCATCATTAAATTTCCATCTGGCAGAAGCAGCACTACTCTTCTCGTTCCACCTATATAATAATCAAAATATATAAACATTATAAGTACGTGGATATAAAATGAATCATTGTCAAGAAAGAATAAAGAAATATTTAATATTACCTGGCGTAGGTTCTTCTGCTTGTACAACTTGAGCCACAACTTGTGCTTGTCCGTCACTATCCTCTTGACTTCCAGTAACATCTGTTGCATTTGTGTTATCCATTATGGACATTACCATTGGATTTTCAGTTGGCTCTGCATCACCTTCTTTTACATAGAATTGTGACGTAAGATTAACTTGGTCAGGTATTAATTGTGCCACTGCTTCGGCAACAGCATGATCCAGCGTTAAAACTGATCCTTCGTCTCCTTGCTGTTCGGTAGTAACATATACACATTGTTGTTCACCATCCGCCCCTCGCGTTACTAATAAAGTTTGTCCATCATCAGCTTGTCCAGTGACTTGATATAGAACACCATCATCACCTGCTATCGTTACTACATTTGATGTGTCTTCAGTTACTTTTCTTTCCTCAGGTATTTTCTCATCTGATTTATTTACTACATCAGTAGATGTAACTGACATAGTTGTGGTAGATGTTACTGCAGCAGCTGTTGTTACTCCCGTCGTAATGGTAGGCTCACTTATAGATGTTTCTGTTAAAGATGTTGATACGGTTGTGGTTGGTGGTGTTACTGTATTTGTCGTTGAATCATCTAAGCAAGGAAGATCTGGAGCAGTTACAGCTTCATTTGGTAAGTGAATTTGTGCTGGTTCGCTAGTCTGGACGATAGTACCTGTTGTGCCACCAGGACTCATTTCTACTCTCATAATACCACCACCTTCTGTGAGGGAATCAAGAGAAGGTAACACTAATTCAGCAGTAGTGGTCGTTGCAATAGTGTCTGTGTTTTCAGCCGAAGTTGTAGCTGTTTTAACATTTGGTAATGTCGTTGAAGGAGTTGGTTCAGTTTCATGCTCATTGGACTGTTCGACTGGTTCGCCGTCAGGTCCAATTATACGTCCAGTTAAAGGACACAAAGTAAATGGTCGCGGTGGACTGTCAGGTTCAGCAGTTGTAATTGTTTCAGCCTCGGGTGGAGGAAGTTCTGGTTCTCCTTCGCTACTGCTTTCCTCTGAGCCAACTTCATGAAATTCCATATGAAGTCCATCTCCCTCTGCTAATTTACTTTCTTTAGGTTTGTTTCCTGGAGCAATAACAGTTGGTGATTCAACAGCTTTTGCTTTACCACGTCCAACAGACGCACGATTACTAGCCAATATACCACCACGTCCACCTGACTTGATCAAACCTGCTGCCTCCTGCGCTTTTCTCTTTGCCATTAATAATTTTTGTTGTGGCGATATCAGGGACTGCGGTTTACTTAATGCTGATTTAGGTGATTGCTTATTTTGTGCAGGACTATTAGATTTAATAACTTGTTTTCCTTGTGAACTGAGTACTGTGAATTTTGGTTTAACAGGAGGAGTCACTGATGCAGTACTGGGTGAACTAGCTTGAGTATTTACAACTGTTGTACGTTTGTGTAGAACTTGTCGTGTTTGTTGACCTTGTAATTGTCTAGGAGCTGGTGCTCTAACAGGAGTACGAATAGATGATCCAATACCAAGAACACTAGTTGGGGTAGTTGCACGTAATGCTGGTCTAGGTAACAGAGGACGACCATCCGCGCCACGTGTTACTGTAACAGGATTAGGACGTATACCCGCACTAAGTCTTGGTTGTAACGTTATGGGAGTTGGTACTGCAGTTACTACATGTATTTGTTGTAATTGTGATGGGTCTGGTTTAGGTTGTATTTTGATAGGTTCCGGTTTTTGTATACCTCCTGCTTTAGACCCAACAGGCTTAGAAACTACTTTCATTTGTGTTACTACCTGACTTCCATCCATTTTCGATACTACTTTAACGGGAGTGATAGAGTTGGATTGACTCGCCGAAATAACTTGTTTTCTTACATTACTGTTATCCCGATTTTGTACCATTAGAACACCTTGTGTTGTAGATGAACCTTTGACAGCGAGTTTTCCACTCGGAGATGAATCTAACTTTATAATACCATCCTTTCGTGACATAACATAGAGACCAGATGTTAGATTTGGCATTTGTTTGGGATCCACTTTAACAACGCCTTTAGCATTTGCGACTAATACTGGAGATTGATTTGATTTAGATCCATCCGGTGACTGAAGTCCCAATGAAGTTGCAAGGTCAGTAGTAGAAACAGTCCTGTTAGAACCATTAGATTGCGCGTTTGCACGGTTAAATGCACGTTGTATTACATCACTACGTCCCATCATCTTCTCTTCTTCTGATTCTCCACTCCAATCTTCATCGCTACCAGTATCACCCTTTGCCCTTTTAGCAGCACTGCTACCAGCCTCTTCTGAATCGCTATCAGAATAGTCTATCCTTCTTTTTCCTAATACTGAAATTTAGAAAAATATTTTATAAATATTATTACTACAATTATAATATGATAAAGAAATACAACGAATATATACAAAACATACGGTCACTCTCTTCATCTTTCATTGAACCACACCACTGCTTCACTTGATCCATTGCTTTAGATTTACTTGAACGCATGGGACGACTAAATATTATAAAAATAGTCAAATATTTTATACAAATACTAATGTAATATATTATAGTATACATTCATTAACATACCCTGCTTGAACCACATTGCTTGGACCAGGCTTGCTGGCATCTGCTGATTTGATAACAGCTTTTTGTGCAGCTACCTTTCCTGACAATTTATTACTAGCTTGCTGTTGTGCCGCTTTCATTTCTTTTTGTTTAGCTAGATTCCTTTCAAATTCTTCTAATATGTACTTGCAAGTTGCAACACTTTCTAATGGTTCCCATGAATTGCTTTCGCTATAAATACATGTAACTTTTTCATTAAAAAAGAAAAATCAACAATTTTAATATCAGAAAATAGAAAACGAACTAACTGTGAATAACCTTCCCATTTGAGTAAGTATTCCGAGCATCTCTTTTTTGGATTAAAACGTTTAGCTAAAATTTTTTCTATAATGTATTCCTCAGTACTCGAATCTCTATCTTCTTCTCCTGTTGCTTTTGATAATTTCACCTATGAAAATAAAAAAAAATAATAATAATAATAAAAATATATAACACTCTTATAAATGTAAATCAATATTTATATGATTCTATTAAATATTCATATATACTATAGTCATATTAGTTGATATTACCTTCGGTTTAATAGTTGGTTTCAATCTTGGTTTTTCTTTCTTATCAATTTCACTCTCCATAGATTCCAAGCCTTTGTGTAATTTAACTTCGGAAGATTTAACATCTTTCTTAGAATCAGATGCTTCCTCTGGTTGTCCATTTCTAATAACTTTACGTACTACTATTTGTTTTGTTCCTATAGAAAAGAAAGAGAACTTTGTTCAATTTGTTACATAATAAAAAAAATATTTAGCAAGAAATACCTTCAGCATTAGAATTAGTTTGCCTTGGAACTTCCTGCATCTTTGCATTACTAATTTTAGTAAACGTTTGAATAGTTTTCCCTGCAGCTATCCACGAATCTCTAATGTGTGTATCCATTTTACACCATTTTTGATAGAGCTTCCATGAATTAGTAGAGTCTCTATCGGTGTTTTCTTGCTGAATTTGTGTATCTTTCCACAAAAGAAAGGCCCAAACTTGTGCTTTTTGTTCATTCTGCGGATATTAGAAAGAAATTATTAAATTTTTTATTTCTTCCTCTAAAATAATAACTCATAAAAATGGTTTAGATTATATTTATTGAGATACTAACGTTAGTATTATCACGAAAATGTGATACGTGTGAACAAGAACCTTCTTTCGTACGGTGCTCTTGAAATTCTTCGATAAAGTGAAAAACTGAATGGCACTGACCGCATACCAAGATATCTAATCGTCCCATTTCTTCTTGTGCGGCTAATAATAAAAACAATATTTCAATTTACATTCGCTAAGCATTGATATAATGAATGAACTTATATAAGTATTAGATTTATTTTTAATGAATTAATTAATAAAAAGATATAAACAGATTACCTTTTATAGTGGCCGGATTAGTATTGACAGCCGAGGGGCCATCATCCGCTTCCATCTTGTTAAAAATTATGCTTGTCTTAGCGTTCTCAGAGAATACAGTTTGCTGCAAATTTAAAAATTGATATATTTAACCATTTATGCTAATAATATTAGAAATATAAACTTATATATGTTTTGCAATGTAAATAACGAAACACAATGAATACTAATTAGACAAAACTATGTAATATTATCTTGGTATAAAAGAATTTATTAAGAAAACTAAAAAAAGAGGAGTACTGTATATATAACAAAAATAAATACAATATAAATTATAATTTTAATTAAATATATACCACAGCATGGGTAAGATATACGAGAGTCTATAAGTCGAGCGCGAAAATATAAATGAGGTTAAAAAATATTTTGTAATAAATTTTATCCTTTTAAAGTGATCGTTTACACAAATATATACATATATTTATTTTTTCTTTCTACGAACAATAACAACGAATCAAATAAATTAAATTAAAATACGAAAAAATTGTAATTTTAATTTGAAAATTCGCGGGTTAATAAAAAATAATAAACATTCAAACTGATTCGGTAAATGAAATCGAATATAGAAAATGTAATTCAATTCGTTAGACCGCCAGAGAGCCGCTCCTACGTTTCATATGATCGGCTGTTTTATAAATCCTTCCACGTCAGCCAGTTTTCGACGACAATCTGATTCGGAAGAAGAGGCTTTGTAAAATATAAAATGTACCGTAAATGCTAATAAATTATGATTTGAAAAAGAAGCAAATTCCCGCATAAATGATAAAACTTTAAGATAGACACTGCCCCAGGTTATTCATTGTAAACGCGGCCAGTCGCGTGGAGTTACCAACGTATGACTTTCAACGTACTCAATATATATATATATATATATATATATATACACATATATATAGACATATATTATATATATATATATAATATGTATATATATGNAAGCAAATTCCCGCATAAATGATAAAACTTTAAGATAGACACTGCCCCAGGTTATTCATTGTAAACGCGGCCAGTCGCGTGGAGTTACCAACGTAATATTTTCACGACCCTAAATATATATATATATATATATATATATATATACACATATATATAGACATATTATATATATATATATAATATGTATATATATGGATATCTATTCTATCGTCTTTTCTCACTCTCTCTTTTTCTTTAAAAAGGTATACACACGTAACATGCACACATATACACATAGAGAACATACACTTTCTTTCTCTCTTTTTCTCTCTTTCTCTCTCTCTATCTCTTTCTTTCTTTCTTTCTCTTTCTGTCTCCCTTCTTCCTTCGTTTTCGCGTTAACGCACGCGGATCACCCGGTTAAGATGGCTTTGGCCTTACGCAAAGCGACTATTGCGTTAACGCAAATAACTAAAGCGCGTCGTGATATCGCAATTATTTCGAAAAGATGACATTGCTGCCGCCACACGCGACTCTTTTCCTCTTCTTCTTGTCCCTAAGACGAACGAGCTAACGAACAAGCCGATGCTTGCTTCGTCAAGATGGCTCTTCTCGCTTAATGCTCTTCCCTCCGTGTTAGATTCACTTCCTGTTTTTTCGTTAATACTTTTCGAATGCACTTTGGACACCTTAAAAATTATTCTTAACGATCATCTCTCGAACCAATGATGACGACTTACGGCCGATAAACCGTAGAAAAACCCGATTTTCCCGATCCAGAAAATACTCCTAAACAGCACGAAACGGAATGAAAACAGTGATCGCGTCTTCTGACAGTGGCGCCATGGCGCCCGCTTACCGCCAGACCCAGCGACGAGTATTATTTTGGCGGGAACCTGATATTACTTTTTCCGACTTTATTAACCATTGTATTATCCTAATTTATTTATTTTTATCATTAAATATAAAATTTCTTTCATATTTTATAACTAAGATCTATGAGATATTATTAATAATGGTAATTAATAGACAAAAAACTGATGCTAATTGAAGGATTTTTACCGTTTTTAAATTTACCGCCTTTTACATTTGACCTGCTGATATTCCGGATAAAGAGAGAAAAAGCTATATTAATTAATACCAAGTCGATTCTGATGACATTCATTGGTCGTTTACCTCGATCGTATTCACTACTTTGATTTCTTTCAGTACTAATTATTTATTATTAATTTTTATTTTGATTTATTTATATTACACAGTATCAAAGTTTATTTTGTAGTGAAAAGAAATGGCTGACGAGGAAGAAGGAAAGGAGTACAGATGGGAGACTGGTTATGAAAAAACTTGGTAAGTAGATATTTGCATGTATATTTTTATTTAATTTATAATTAACTAAGTGTTAATTACATCAAAATATTGCATGTGCAATTTTATTAATTTAATCTTTATCAATTTTGTTATAAAGGGAAGCAATTAAAGAAGATGATGATGGGCTTGTTGAAGCATCCGTTGCAGAAATTATACATAATGCGAAAAGAAAAAGGCAATTGGATAGAAAAGCTGGTGCCAGATTAGGAATGATGAGACATTTGTATATTATTCTTGATACTTCTGAAGCAATGTCCAATCAAGATTTGAAACCAACGCGTTTACTATGTTCCTTGAAGGTATTTCATATTTTAAAAATATTAAATCTGTGCACTGCTATGACAACCAATTTATAAAATAATCATAAGCTTTTAGAGGACTTTGTGGATGAATTCTTTTATCAGAATCCTATAAGCCAAGTCGGTTTAATTATAACTAAGAATAAAAGAGCTGAGAAGATTAGTGACTTGGCTGGAAATTCAAAGAAACACATTAAGGTTTGTACGTATATACTGTATTATTTCAAGAGAAAACAATGATCCTCATATTGTCTATCATTTTTATAGGAAATAAAAGCTTTGCAGCAAACAGCATTAGCTGGTGAACCATCATTACAAAATTCTTTAGAATTAGCTTTAAAATCACTTAGGCTGTTACCGTCTCATGCTAGTAAAGAAATAATAATAATAACTGGTTCTCTTACTACGTGTGATCCTGGAGATATTACCGAGACAATACAAGTAAATAAATTTATTTTTTGATTAATATTAGTATATATTTTAAATAAGATAATAATCAGTTTGATTTCAGTCTATGAAATCGGATGGTATAAGGTGTAGCGTGATAGGTTTAGCTGCTGAATTGTACATTTGTAAAAAAATTGCTATTTTAACTGGTGGAGAACATGGTGTTGTTTTAGATGATAAACATTTTAAAGAACAGTTAAATGCGCATATAGATCCACCACCAGCTGCTACTAGATTAGACGCAGCACTCGTGAAAATGGGTTTTCCACATCATGCATTGCAATCTTCTGGTACTGATACTTCGATAACGGTATGCATGTGGTATGTAAAATTTTTATAATGTATATCTACAATTATAAAGGATTGAAAAATCATACTTTTATATGATTAATTTACAGTCACGCAGAAAATTCAGATGGATCTGTCAAATTAACAAGTACAGGTTTTCTTTGCCCTCAATGTCTTAGCAAACATTGTGAACTACCAGTCGAATGTAGAGCATGTGGTCTAACTCTAGTTTCTGCTCCACATTTGGCAAGATCGTATCATTATTTATTTCCAGTTGCACCGTTTAAAGAATTAGATTACGAAGACAAATATACAATGTGCTATGGATGCCAAAAAATATTATCTCAAAAAGATAAAAAGGTATTAACTAAAATCATTAATGAATAGACACCCCAAAATTTCTGATTTTATTATTATTTATAATATATATACATATATATAAATTATTATTTTAGATTTACATTTGCGAAAAATGTTCCAGAATATTTTGTATAGATTGTGAAATATTCATTCACGAATCATTGCACACGTGTCCGGGTTGTGCAACGAATCAAACTACATATCAAAAATTTACTGAAAAATAAATTCATATTAAATAATTCGTGTCACGTTTGGGAATTTTTTTTTCCTTGTCAATTTAGATCTACGAACATAAGGTTTACTCGATTAAACTAATATCACACATTTTATCATCAATTTTGTAAGTATTTAATAAATGAAGAAGAATATTTTATTATCTAATCAATGATAAAATCTAACTCTTCTAAAATATCGTATATATAGAATGATCCAAATAATATGTTGTGCTGTTTGCTCAGAAATTAATGAAGATATCAACTTCATTTTTGATGTTATCAAAAACAGTTGAAATAATTTTTAATCAGTTCGATGGTCAAGAAAATGTGTTGCACAGCACATTAAATTTAAAATATTAATCAACCTTTTGTATAATTTAATTATTGCAAAAAATTAAAGTGGATATCTTTATTAGTTAGTGAGAAAATAGTTTTATAAAATTTAATTTCAAATAAGTTTTATATATATACATACATATATATATATATGTATATATATATATATATATTAGGAAATTTTCAAATGTATACAACGTACATAATTTTCGTTTGAACAGAAACGTCCTTCTTCTCAATCACAGTTGGAAGAGGAGGCAATTCAAGTTTATTAGCATCTAGACAGGTGGGAGAAGGAGAGAGTCATAATATTACTGTACTTATTAGTTCACAGTCGTCCTCTGGTGTGACCGGTTCGAGCGGGATCGACCTAGTCTCGCAATTTTATTAAGTGTCAGCTATCTACTACGTACGCGCGATTCTATCTTGATTTAATTTTTCTACATATGAAATATTGTTTGACCACATTGTTTCATTATTTAAAAGGCATCCTCAAAATTAGGTGAGTTAAATATATTTAATATTTATATCATATATTGTGTGTGTGTTCCCCTTTTCGCAAATCGTCCAATAACATTTAATAATATTTAAGTTTAAAGTATTATTTCTAACTTTGCAAAATTATTGTTTGCTCCTTTTTTTTCTGTTACATATATATTTGCATACATGTGATATATGAATACATTAATATTAATTTTTACCTGTGTTACTGTTTAAAAAGTCTGTCTTGCATGTGATAAAAAGATGTATTTTTCAAAAATAAAATAAAAGACACACATAAGTCATAATTATCATGACATGTAGACATTCATGTAAACATGATGCAAAGAGAATTAATTTCAATAAATTCAAAGTATTAAATGATTATATTTAAAATTTAGATAATATCTTATAAAAAAAAAAAGAAAAAGCAAATTATATATAAAAGATATAGAAGAATAACAATATAAATTTATTTAATTATTTAAAAAATATATATAATTGCGTATAGTTAATAAATTAATTGAAAAGTTTAATAAATATCAGGTATCGAGATATTCAAACTGATATGAATATTAAAATCGGTGGCTTTCTCTTCTATACTGGAGATAAGAATTATCTTTTTATTGTTGATACATTTTATTTCAATTGGCATATCTCATATTCATAAAACTTGTATGGATTATTTCAACTGCATCGTTAAAATAAACAAAATTCCATTCAATTTAAAAAATAAGATTAAATAAAATAAACGAAACAGATATTCAATAACGAGAGAATATTCATTAATTTTCTTATTATTTATAATTTTAACCTCAAATCAGAAGCTTTTAATGGATATATGAAATTAGCTCATTGGCGAATTCATTGAATGTACATTCTCTTTCGTCGAGGTCACTCCTTTTCCAATTACATTACTTGTAAGAATTCTTTTTAAAGAAACAAGACGCTTCTTTTTTATTATAAATTCTTTATTTTTTCCGTTTATCTTATATCATAAAATATATCATGAAATAGATATGTGTATATATATACGTGTTCGTCAATTGATTGCAAATTATTTTAGTGAAAGTAGGAGAATAATTTGTTGACCCTATTTGTAGATCCAATCGTTCCTATGCCACTATATGATCATTCTTATTCGAATAGAAAATATTATTTTTTCTTATTATTAAAAATTCTAATTGTATTTGCTTGGTCAATAAATAATGTCGAAATTTGGTAGTGACTAATTCTGTTTTAAACATAAATAATTATTTTTTATAGCAAGCATTTAGTATTTTTTATCTACATAAGTAGTACAAATATTTTTTACTCCGTATTCCGACATTATTACTTGTTATCTAATACTTAATATATATATATATAAATTCATTTTTGATTTTTAATTGCACTTAATAGATTTGTAACAATGTAAAAAAAAAGAAATGAAAGAACTACAAGTTTTACATTTATAGTGCATGAAAAATATCATTGGAAAAAGGTATTTAAGTTATTAAAAATTTCAATTTTACTTGCATAATTGCAGAACGACTAATACAAATATGTTATCTTCAGTAAATAAGAAAAGGGAACTTTTATTTCTAATGATTCGGCTTAACATCACTTACTTTAACTATTATATAACATGCAAATGAAACATTTTTGTTAGACTGTTCATTTCAAATGAATACGTTCCTAAGCGTAATCATATGCGAACTTAATATAACGATCTATTGCGCAAATTTAGTTACGAGCACTGACTGTTAATACCTTGGAAACAGTTTGGATTATTTGTATAAGGATAAAAAGCCATTTTACCTTGAATATTTTTATCAAGGAAATTTCTCAATGAACATTTCATTTATATATATATATAAGTACATACGTGTTAGCCGCGATTAAATAAATTCTTTAAGATTTGTTAAAACTATAAATATTAATGATTTAAGCAATTTTTATGACCAACAGATAGTTGACCTCGAGAATCATTTTTATCTAAGAAAGGATCCTTGAATTTTAATTGTGCATAGTTATGTACGTAATTAGTGTTATCTTAAATATCATTTTTCATTGCAATATTTACATTATTTATAATTATTTAGTAACAGACATGAAAAATATGAATATTTTACGAGGAAGTTTTATACACGCATAGTTTGTACAGTTATAAGAAAAGGAGAAAATAACAATCGTTATGGCGAGTCGTTTGTGGAAAACATTATCACGCAAACGTGTTGACGATGATCAAGGAGGTAAAAGTGAGCTGGCAAGAGTCCTCAATATCTTTGATTTAACTGCCCTTGGAGTCGGGGCTACCCTTGGTTTAGGCGTATATGTCCTTGCCGGAAGTGTTGCCAAAGAAACGGCCGGACCAGCCGTTTGTATTTCTTTTCTTATTGCTGCCATTGCTTCTGCCTTTGCTGGTAATTTTTTTATACAATTATATTGAGTTGGACAATAACTCATTTTTGAAATTTTTAATATATAAGATATTAGTGTTGTTTATCTAGAACTATTTTAGTATATTTATTATATTAAAAATCCCGACAATACTTATCAGTTATTTCTTTTCTTTTTTAAGTTGATTTATTTAAGTATTCCTATTAAAATGTTGCATCCTGTAGGAATGTGTTATGCAGAATTTGCCTCAAGAGTACCAAAAGCAGGATCAGCTTATGTTTACAGTTATGTAACAGTTGGCGAATTTATAGCATTTGTCATAGGATGGAATTTAATATTGGAATATGTTATAGGTATGTGTACAATTTAGGTCTGAATTATAATCCTGTACTGTTATTACTTTCTTACAGGATAATTATTTCTTTTTCTATATAGGTACAGCGAGCGTTGCTCGAGGTCTTAGTAATTATATCGATGCTTTAATAGGAAATGTTATGGGGAAAACATTGTATTCAATTATGCCAATAGATATATCTTTTTTATCAGAATATCCTGATTTCTTTGCATTTGGCATGGTCATGTTACTCGTTCTTTTACTTAGCATAGGAGTTAAGGAATCATCTTTTTTGAATAATATATTCACTATTATCAATATCGTTACGATTATCATCGTTATAGTAGCGGGTGCTATTAAAGGTAAACAAATTGATTATGAGATTAGATTAAATTCTTGATATCTTGTATTAATCTTTTGTCAAATTTTTAGCTGATCCTAAAAATTGGAACATTTCGGTAGAAGATATTCCCAAAAATGTAACCCACGGTGGTAATGGAGGTTTTATGCCATTCGGAATAAGCGGTGTAATGGCAGGTGCAGCTAAATGTTTTTATGGTTTTGTGGGTTTCGATGCTGTTGCAACGACTGGCGAAGAGGCAAAGAAACCACAACGTGATATACCCTTAGCCATTGTTTTATCTCTCGCTATTATTTTGGCTGCATATTTCAGTATTTCTACAGTACTGACCATGATGTGGCCATATTATGATCAGGTATAATGTTTTACACTGACTGCAAACAAACTTATATGTAAGTTAGGTGATTTATTTGCAATATAATTTGCGAATTTTCTACTCCCTTAATGTAACATTTATAATAATGTTGAATTAGAATGCAGACGCACCATTTCCTTATGTTTTTCAACAAATTGGGTGGCCGGTCATTCAATGGATCGTTAATATTGGAGCTATTTTTGCATTATGTACGAGTTTACTAGGTGCTATGTTTCCCTTACCACGTGTATTATATGCTATGGCAAGTGATGGAATCATATTTATGTGGCTTTCTAAAGTACATTCCAAGACCATGACACCTATTTTGGGTACAGTACTTTCTGGACTACTTGCTGGTTAGTAAATATATATACTATGATATAATTACATCATATTCATATCATTATTCCAATTTACTTTGTATTACTTCAGGAATCATGACTCTTTTTTTTAATCTTCAACAATTAATCGACATGATGTCTATTGGAACACTATTAGCATATACAGTGGTAGCAATATCAGTATTAATACTAAGGTTTGTTAATCCTTCTTTTGTGAACTTAAAAAAAAAAAACTTAATAATATTCAATCCAATATTTGTAGGTATCAAAAAGATGATGTACCTGAAATAACAATGAACGATTATAAATTTACAGCATTAAATATATTCAAGCAAACATTTAATTTAAACAATCATAAAGAACCATCGCATATTTCTAACGTAGTTTCCAAATGTAGCATAGCTAGTTTTAGTAAGTGTAGTTACAAACTTGTTTATAAATATGTTAACAATATTTTAACAGATTTTAATTAAAATCTTCTTTTAGGTCTCATCGTATTTATACTCATTCTTATATTAAACAACACTGAATTTAATATGACAGACGACAACGTGATAGTATTTGTAATAATGATAATACTTATTTTTATAATAATATTAAATGTAGCATCCATTGGTAGACAACCAGTTCAACAAATCGAACTATCTTTCAAGGTATAATATAACACACGTATAGTGTATATTTTTTAAAAATTATTAATGTATTATTTAAATAACATATCTTTTTTCTTTTATTTTTTTTTAACTCAGGTTCCATTAGTCCCATTAATACCATGCTGTAGCATTTTTATAAATCTTTATTTGATGTTACAACTAGACATGTTTACATGGATTAGATTTATCGTGTGGATGTTGATCGGTAAGTTATTTGAATAAAAAAAATATATATTATATGTATGTGTGTATTAAATTTAAGAAAATTATATATATTTATATGTATTTCTAATATTATTTATATTTATAGGTTTTTTTATTTATTTGTTTTACGGAATTTCTCACAGTGTTCAAGGAAAAAAAAATAAAATAGAGGATAAAATAATGAAACAAAAAAATGCAGATCACAGTAGAATCGTAACGAAATTTTAAATCTACAATAACATTATATAATAAATATAAGTTCACAGCAACGTAAAATCATAAAATAAGATTTAAAAAAAACTCGTTTACATAATTATTTGTAATATTTTCAATTATCATATTTTATATAAAATAATTAAGATTATTGTGATATATTTCTATCGTGGCATTAATTTATATAAAAAATATATGCGTTTTCATACAAAAATTGTGAAGAAGTAAATGATATTGATATTACATTTTAAAAGACTCAAAAAATGTATATTATTTATTATATTCTGTCCTAACAATTTTCCAATTGCAAAATCGGATCTCCCCTTTCTTTTTTAATTCTCTAAAATCTACAATTCGTAAAAACAAAATAATTATAACATAAGCAAGTACACATTGGCTTTAAAACTTAAAACAATATTTAAATAAATACTGTAATTCTAAATTTGTCACACATCATTGCATAAAAACAAATCAATTTGTTCATACTTAAATATAAATATGATTACCAATAATATATATATAAAAGTTTTGGTATATTTTATTTTATATATATGATTATAACTAATCATTATTACGCAAATACTTACAATTGAAATTGAATTAAAAATATAATATTTTCCTGTACTATGGAATGTAACACGTATGAAAAACTTTCATACCGTTTGTCATTTACATTATGTATATATAAGTACATATATATACATACACATAATGAAAAGATATATTGAAAATGAATTTCATTGTACCTGTTATATTACGAATTATTTTAATAAGCAATTAATTCCTTCTATTAATTAAACCTCCAGCGCTTAAATGTTGCCAATTCGCCTGTCAAGATTTTACTGATATTATATTGGAATATATAAAAATCTTATTATATAAGAATTTGTCAAGACTTACCCCAATACCGGTTGCCCATCCTGTTCCAGCTGGATTTTCATTAGTTACGCCAATTCTTCGACATATTATACCAGCTCCAGAAACAGCCCAAACTTGTCCATCTTCTTTGGCAACAGAAATATGTCTAAATCCTTGCTTCGAATTTATAACAGAGATATCTATAAATATATGGATTCATTTTATATATAAATGTTTGCATTGAATAAAAATATTTGTACAATATTTGTGTACCTATGTGAATAGGATCATTTGGCATCGCTGGTAACGTTTGCCAATGGCTTCCCTCTGGAAAAACGTCGGCTTGTATATCACGACGAATAGATAATCTACCTGTTGTGTCCAGAACCCATACGACATTATTTCCAACGGAGATTTGTTTTAATTGTGCTCCTGACGGCGGTTCAACATTTTGCCATTGTAGACCTAATTTATAAAAATTTTATTTTAATAATTATTCTATATACATAAATTCATATATTACTGTACCTGTAGGTTTTGTTTGTGTAACACCAAATCTCCAATAAGAAGAACCATTTATTCCAACTGCCCATACTTGACCATTTGGTCCACAAGAAATACCAATTAATGGTTGATCGCTTGGTATATGTTCCCATGATACACCCTATGTTAAAAGAAATATTATATAAATTTTTTAAACAATTTATTACTATTTATTTAAATATTCTTACCATTGGACAAGATTCAGATACACCTCGTCTGAATAAGGCTTCGCCATTAGATGCAACTGCCCAAACGTGGATAAGAGAATCTTCACCGGGTTTACTAGATGTCTACAAAGTATCAGAAAAATTAATATGATCATATAAGATAAGATTAATATTTTCATTGCATAATTCATACATATAAAGATACGTCGACTAGTTTTGTATTTCCTAGCTCTTGCCAAGGGCCACTGGTAGTAAGTTGACATCTTCTAAACCATCTTCTTCTTCGTACGTAATCAGTAAATTGTTTTTTCCCATGATACTGGGATGGAAAATCCGTGGCATATTGCCATCCGTCTCTGTCAACACCTCCAGGGGTATGAAAATCAACAATCCAATCTGATACCTTTGATTAAAATAATTACATTATTATTTATTTTTATAGATAAATATAATTATTAATAATTGTTTATTTACCCATTGCCAGTGCATTGATAATAATTTAGTATGTTCTCGAGTACGTTTATGACGACCTGTTACATCGCTCCACATATAACGATCCGTTGGAAGACCATGAGAAGTATATCCAGTTACTGGATTCCACCTTTGATTTTCATAAACAAAATAATTGTGTGTATCTACCATTGTATTTATTCCAGTATTGCAAGTTCCTAATCCTTTTAAAAAAGTTCCCCCCCAACCATTAGTGTATACCCAGGCAGTATTATCGTATCCTATGCCCCATGTGACACCGACAGAACAGGTTTCTACTTTTTTCAGATGTCCACCTATTTGTCTCCAGAATATTGTTATTGGTTCGATTATAATTGACATTGATTTGTATAGAACACTGCATAGCGTCATTAATCCTTTAATTCTTAGATGCGTTATATTTTGCGGTGATATTCTGTGGCTATAAAATGTATATTCTGAATCATTGATAAAAATTCTATATCCGCGTTCTTCGCAAACAATATTTAGTATAAAATCGGACCCTGGTTTTAATGGGCTACCTCCGTTTCTTTCCTCATCGCCCCATTGTCCACTCTGATAGGTATTTCTTACTATTACATTTTCTTTGAGTCGTGGGTTAAAATGCAGTGCTACATCATGACAATCTGTTATATTTTTTTGTTTTAAAGATGTTGTAGTATAACATACTAGATTAAACGAAAGTCTATCGGCATCATCGTGGATACATACTGTTATTTTCAATGAACTGCCATATCCAAAACTATTTTGTAAAATACTTTCAAATGGTAAATCTTTACCAGCTGCATCTAATTCTTGTACATAGCCGTCTCCAGAAAATTGATTTTCCTCTGTTATAGTTGGATCATATACATAAACGTCTCCTAATGCGGTGGTGACCCAAATAGAATTAGGACCTGGCTTCCCATAAATATTATTAGTTTGGCAAGAAACAGAAGTCAAATGTGCCAGCCAATCTTCCATATCAGTGTCACTTGCAAATTGTAATGTAAGAATTTTAGAGCGCATTAATTTAGGAGTATGAATCGTTATACGCGGATTGCCTGGTTCACTACAGCAAATAACGCAACTTATCTCAGATATTGGGAATTGCATAAAAATCGTAGCACCATCGGAATTTAAAATTGTTAAAGTACCAGAGTCTAATGATCCAGTATCACTACTTATCCATTCTAATTCAATAATACAATCTTCATAGGCATTACTTCCTTTTACTTTACACCTTGCATCACCATTTTTAACCCAGGATGACTTTTCTATGGCTTTTTCATATTTCGACAAATCTAAATCTATTCCTTTCAATCTATTTTTTAATTCCTCTAGGATGTATATCCTCCATGGTTCAGCAATTTCTCCGTGCATTACACCATTGGTATCTGAAATCCACTTAGGAGGATTCGATGGATCCATGTAACATGCACCGGCTTCTACTTTGTACCATAATGCATCACATTCGGCCCAATAAACTATTGCTGCGCTTTCATCCTCTCCATATACACCAGAATCGCCAGTTAAATCAGGATCAAAAATACTCCCATCTGTTTCAGGATGTGCTTCAACACCAACCATAGAGCCAACAGAATGTACAGGACTCCATGCAGCTGGATTCACCTTAACCGTACTACTCATGCCTTTACCAGAGACAATTATAGATTCTCCAGTTTTAGTTAATGATTCGTTTGATATTGTTATGTTCGCAACATTTGTTTCTGTTAAGTCACTCATATCTAAAGAGTTTGCTGATCGTTTTTTATCTTCTGTAGCATATATATCTTGGCAAGATGTTTGAGCATTTTTGTTAACGTCGTTAGTACGTTGCCATAACTTCAAAGACGTTGGTGTTGGTGCTGATCGCGATTGTTCCTCCCATTCTCTAACCAATGCAGTTCCTTCACTAGTACTATGAGGTCGATTCAAAGAGCTCCAACTTTGATGGCGTTGTTGTTGCGGTGTACCACACATACTATGTCTATTACTCGAAGATAAGCTTGCATTGCTACTTGCTCTACTTAATTGAAGAGGAGCATTAATTAATCTCCATTTTTTTCCTGTTAATTCTGATCGTGTTATACCCATACGATAATAAAGACATCTGTCTTCGTAACCAATAGCCCAAACCTGATCGTTTGGAGCAACAGATACCAATGCCATTTTACTTAACATTTCAACCCATCCAGTTCCTGCTGCCAATTGTTCACAAACGCCACTCATCTCACCCTTAATACCTTTCCTAAACCAGACACTACCATCGTGCGTAACTGCCCATACGGCATCCGTACCTACGCTAACTTGTATTAATCTTAAATCTTTCTGTGGTGGTTCTACTTCAGTCCAATCATCACCCATTGGATTTTCTCTAGTAATCCCCGTTCGAATGATGGCTTTTCCAGCTAATAGAATTGCCCAAACTAGACCTGTTACTCCTACACTTATTTGACAAACCTCGTGTCCATTATTTAATTTAATGGAACTCCATCTTTGACCTTCGGGGCAAGTTGTACTTGTTCCTACACGAAACATCACCTATAAAAAAATATAGACAAATGATATTCCATTAAATATTTTTATAATTAGAAATCTAAATAATATACCCTTCCATGAGCTGTTACTGCCCAGACTACTAAACCACCAGGATTACCACCAGGCATTTGGTTACCTCCAACAGCCACATCAATAAATGGTTCCTAAGTATAAAAAAAATCAAATCTACATAAATGTGTTTACAAGTTAATGATTGAGGATATATTATAAAAATCATTACTTTGGTTGGATCTTTGTGAAGCGGTGCAATTGCACACCAAGAGTTCATAGCACTGTATCTTCTATATCGGACCCATTTGCGCCTTCTAACACAAGATTTCCATTGTTTTCTTGCTGAATATGTTGCTGGAAAATCAACTGCATATGTCCAGCCCTACCAAAACATCAGATTCTCTGTGATCATAACACTTTTGTCTTGTTCTGGACGATTGATAAAAAATCTACACGTAAATAAAAATTTGTAAGATATAATCATAATAAAAAAAAAGAAAATCAATATTAATGGTAACCGATCCTTTACACAATTAAAATAATAATTAAATTAATAAATGTGTGTATATATAATAATGAAAAATATAGATGAACTAATCGGAAGAATATATAAAAAAAAATAAATGAAATATAAAATAAAAATATATTTAAACAAGAATGAGAAATATTTTAGTAACATTTAACAATATTAATTATTTATAAATTTATCATTTATTAATTTGTATAATGTGTAGATATATTTACATCATGATCTAATGGTTGACCATCCAGCGTTGTCTCTACGTGCCAATCACCTTCCCATTGCCAAGCCATAGATGGAAGTTTAACTTTATCTCGACTACGATCGACAGTACCATCTTGATTAGAAAAATTATATCTATCTGTAGGTAATAATCGTCCACTAAATCCTTCTAATGGAAGCCAGCGCTGTAATTGTTAATTAAAGATAATAAGAGAAAAAAACTAAGATTTATATTTGAATAGATATAAAAAAGAGTTCTTTTACAATATACCTCGTTCTCATAAGTTTCTTCCTTAATTCTAATAGGTATATCTAAGCCGTGAACGTGAACATAAACTTGACGATCACCACCAATCGCCCACATGAAATGAGGCACTGCAGAAAGTTGTTTAAATTCAAGTCCCAAGTACATAAATTCACGCCACATAGTCCCAGATGTCGATAAGCCAAATACCCGTCCCTCATTATTTATAGCATATAAATAAGAACTAGGCATCGTAATAGTTGTATTACAAGCTTAAGAGAATATTTAATTGTAAGATTTTCTGCAATTAAATTCATATATGATTTATTGATCACACCAATATGATAATAATAAAAATTAGTAGTAAAAGATTACATACCAATAATTTGTAGAATATTACGATGAATTATAGCTTTAATTCCATCGTAATTTTTGCTTCTTAAAAATTTCGTTATGTACACAATAACTTTTTAACAATATAAATACGATCGGTCTTTTATAATTAAAAATATATTTTATCTTTTATAGTCAAGAAGTAAAAAACTATACGTTGTGGAAAAAAGATATTAATCTATCCGATAAATATAGATTATATATTTATATATTTTCTTTTTTGTTAGATTATCTTTATGATAATGTAACTGCTTATAAGGAAAAAATACATACGATCAAAGTAAAAGATCAGATTTTTGTGTTAAATAACGGAAAAAGCATTTCATATTAACAATTATACATATTTCATAATACAATTATACATACATATATATATATATAATTAAAATGTTACATCAAATTCAGCACAACATGATCACAATCTTATTCACTACAATTATCTAAAATAAACTTGAAGAAGAAAGTGAAAGTGTTATCTATTGTCTCTAGTTATCTATTTGCGGCCATTAATTCGGCATGGTGGAATTTCATTTCCATGTGATCGAGTTTTCCTTTATGCACTTAAGTTATTTTCAATACCAATATTGCACAAATTTTACACAACAAAAATTATTAATATATCTATTAATAGCGTTTTAATTGTGTGTAGTTGTAATAAGCCAATCATATTCATCTTCACAATAAAGCAGCCAATTACAATATTTTTTTCTTAGCCAATCGTTGTGATTATTTACAAAATTGATAATACGTCTGTTAAAATTGGCAGCATTGTATTAAAGAAAAATCATTTTTAAATTTAAAATAATTATCAAATATATATAATAATGGAGGAAATATTAAATGTACAAAATAAATATGCAAGTGTCAATCTAATCCAACTCGAAGAATTTATTATTAAACGTCGAGAACAAAAAAATCAAATTATATACGAAAGAGATCAGCATTTAAAAGGTTAATGTTATTTGTTTAAAGATTTTCTTTTTGCAAAAGTTATTTTTTTCTAATACTCTTGTATATTGTGTTATTCTTTTCAGAAACTAAAGACAAAGTTGAAGAATTAGAATCAGAGTTAATATTATTGAAAGAATCTATTCATAATGAGCAGCAAATTTTAGAACAAAAAAATAAAGAATTATCAAAACATAATTTTCGTTTGGTGAGTTTAATGATTTATTCTGTTCTTATATCTTTCATTCAAGTATAAATATACATACATGTATATTATATATTTGTTCTCAGGCTGAATTAAAATCAAAATACGATAAACTTGCAGAAGAGATTCAGAATTTACAGGTTAAGAAAAATCGTATAAAAAATACTAAACCAAATCGGGAAGATCAGAAGTTGCTAGAAACAGGAAGGCATGTAGCTATTTATAATTGATCATTTAACAAATCTAATAATTTTAACTTCAATGTAAGCCTTATGTCTTACAGGAAAAAGTTTCGCTTGTACAAACATGTTACTGGAATAAATTGGGATTACAGTATGATCAATAACAGCATAGAAGGATGTATCCTTTTTTTTAATTGCCAAATGATTATTTACTTTATATATATTATTAAATTGATTTTTCTTGATCACTGTAATCAGATGTATCTAACAAGGTAAATTATATCCATCATTTTAAATTTTCTAAAGATGAAAAAGATCCTGAAGAATTATCTAATCTTTTATGGCATGAAATTTACCTATCTATTGAAAATATATTGAATGGAAATAAAAAAAATTCTTCTGAGTAATTTCGTGGTTATAAAATTGTTTTATATTACTAATATGAAGAATAGAGAATATGTATTATAAAAAAATATTTTTTATTCGAATAATGTAACTTTTTAATATTTGTATCCATCAAATATTTGATAACAATTGGTATTTTTAAAAATGGCGACTTCAACAACAGTGCCTCTATTGGCTACATTCAACATTACATTGACGACATATTTTCCTCATATTTGTTATTCTTAAGTAGTGTAATGCAGTTTTTGTATAGACAAACAACATAAAAAATTGTGAACATGATTTTATGAATAAACAAATTATTTCTAATATTGTTTATAATTATGTATATAATAATGCAGGATAATTTTATATAATTTTTTCTGATCTAAGTATTGAAAGTATTAGCATTGGTGTTTATCTTTTTAAATATATAAAAAGAAAATATTTTTAGTAAAAATGGGCAGCGATACACAGATTGCAAATATAGTGAACGATATTTTAGTAAGTATTTTTATATTTTGCTAAATAATCTTTTGCTATAAACACATATACATAATAAAAAAATATATTTCTATTACTAAAATAACTTTGATACACATATAGAAAGTAGAAGCCATAGAAGAAGCATTCAGTTGCGTACTCGTACATAATCCTAATAATGAAAAAGAAAAACTATCGACATGGCAATCAGAATTAACAAATGCGATGACTGATTTAACTGTGGAACAACAAGAAAATTCAATACGCCAATTTCTTATGATAGCAGCTTCTATGACAAATCATAGACGCTTACAATTATTGTTATCTATGCTTGAAAATTTAGTTTTGTCGAACGTTTTACCAGCTAGGTGATTTATTAATTGAAATACTTATTTCTTTACCTTATTTAAAACATATACACAAATCTAATAATGTTACACGTTGTAGATTAGTATGTGAATACATTCTCAGTTGTGAAAAATTACAATACCAATTAGAAGATTTTTGGGTCGAATGTTTCCTTCTTATTCGACATATTATCGGAGGAGTTGATTACAAAGGTGTTAGAGAAATAATGAAAGTAAGTACTGTTATACTTAATATTAATGTAAATAAATGTATATGTAATTTATTTATATTATATTACAGGGATGTATAGAAAAAGCTCAAACGATACCAGCAAGATTAAATGCATCCATTCAACCACAATTAAAGGCTTTAGAAAATGTTATAGAATATATTTTTGATAGAAATGCTTGCTTGCTACCAGGATACTTTATTGTTAACGAAATTCAAAAGGCCTATCCTGATCATAAAAATTGGCCGCATTGGGTAAACAAAGAATATTAAGAACTCAAATATTATCAATATAATTTATAAATATTTTTTTTTATAGAAATTGGCAAAACTTTTATCTAATTTTGTGGAAAGTTTTCGAACGACTGCGCAAATGGTTTCTATCGTGGGACATTCAAAAATGTTACCAGTTGTGGAACACACTGGTTATGCGGATCATTTAATAAATCCTTGGTTACTAGATCCTACTACGTTAAAGTTTACATTGAAAGGAAATCTTCCATATGATCAAGATTTACTCAAACCTCAAACAGAGTTATTGAGATATGTTTTAGAACAACCTTACAGTAGAGATATGGTATGCTCCATGCTCGGTCTTCAAAAACAAGTATGTATGCATATGCAGAAAATTATAAACAAGATATGTGGAATATACATACAATAAATATTTATTTATTATTTATAGCATAAGCAACGTTGTATAGTATTGGAAGAACAATTAGTAGAATTAGTTATTCTGGCTATGGAAAGATCTGAAAATGATCCTTTACCAGCAGAAGGAACGGATGGGACTGTTGCTAATCATTGGGTGTGGTTACACCTTTCATCTCAATTAATTTATTTCGTATTATTCCAATTTGCATCCTTTCCAAGTCTTGTTATGGCAATACATGATAAGGTATAATTAATTATTTAAAACACATATATATTTAATATTATATGTATATATATATATTTATTTTTTTAGTTGGCTGGTAGAGAGTTGAGAAAAGGAAGAGATCACTTAATGTGGGTTTTATTACAATTCATTTCTGGAAGTATTCAACGAAATCCAGTAAGTAAAAAAATACAATAGACATTTGTTAATGCATAATAAACATTATTGAATGTTTTCAGCTTTCCAATTTTTTACCTGTATTGAAGTTGTACGATCTCTTGTATCCAGAGAAAGAACCTCTGCCTCTTCCCGATTGTACTCAAGCACTTTGCACTCATCAAATGGCTATTATTTGTATATGGATGCATTTACTTAAAAAGGCTCAGATTGAACATTCTAACATTCATAGACCTATACCGCATACATTGAAAATTCATCACGAGTAAGGAAATAATTAAAAAGTATATTAAATAAAAATTTTATGTATATATTATATTTTAACTTTGATATATTTTAGGTTTCTGCAGCATTTAGTTATGCCAAATACATCTCTTTGTATGGGTTTAGATTATCGCATTGCTTTATTGTGCAATGCTTATTCAACAAATCAAGAATATTTCAGTAGACCAATGGCAGCACTAGTTGATACTATATTAGGGAACCAAAAGGTAAATATATATTTCTATCTATTTGTTCTTTACATATTTTGTAATTATTTTCTTCAATTAAATAGGGTCAACAACAACAGCCTTTACAAACATTACAAAATAATGCTGCTTTGGCAAGTGGTCCAACTACACCACTTTCTATGTCAATATTAGATTCACTGACAGTGCATTCTAAGATGAGTTTGATTCATAGTATTGTTACTCATGTTATCAAATTAGCACAATCAAAAAGCAACATGGCCTTGGCACCAGCTCTTGTTGAAACTTATAGTAGATTATTGGTTTATACAGAAATAGAAAGTCTTGGTATAAAGGGTTTTATAAGTAAGTGTGTGTTAAACATTTATGATATCATGAACATGAATATCTTATAATTTATTTTACATGTATTTTTTGTTAGGTCAATTATTACCAACAGTATTTAAGTCTCATGCATGGGGAACATTATATACATTGTTGGAAATGTTCAGTTATAGAATGCATCACATACAACCACATTATAGAGTTCAACTTTTGTCGCATCTTCATAGTCTTGCTGCTGTCCCACAAACCAATCAAACACAACTTCATCTTTGGTATTATGCATAAATTTATGATTTTTTATATTTCTTTAGAAACCTCAAATAATTTTTTAATTTATCTTTTTAGTGTTGAAAGTACAGCTCTTCGTTTAATTACTGGATTAGGTTCGGCAGAAGTACAACCACAATTTTCTAGATTCTTATCAGAGCCTAAAACACTTGTATCTGCAGAATCAGAAGAACTTAACAGGGCGTTGGTTCTTACTCTAGCAAGATCTATGCACGTGACTGGTAAATCTCTCGTCACAAAATAATATTTGATAAATATAAATAAGAAATGATTTATTATTCTTATATATGTTTTATCAATTAGGTACTGGAGCAGAAAATCTTAGCGGTACATGGTGTAAAGAATTATTAAACACTATTATGCAAAATACACCGCATTCGTGGGCCAATCATACCTTACAATGTTTTCCACCAGTATTAAGCGAATTCTTTCAACAAAATAGCGTCGCAAAAGAAAATAAACAACAAATAAAAGTAATTATTATTATAAGAAAATTAATAATACGTGTACGAAAAAATACTATTATTTATATATTTTTAGAAAGCTGTAGAAGAAGAATATAGAAATTGGGCATCCATGAGCAATGAAAATGATATAATAGCTCATTTTTCAGTACCTGGTACACCTCCATTATTTTTATGCCTTTTGTGGAAAATGATACTTGAGACTGATCGTATTAGTCCAATTGCATATAAGTATGATACAATATTTATTATTTTTATTTATTATTTTATTGATTATTAATGTAAATAATATTATTTACAGGATATTAGAAAGAATAGGAGCCAGAGCATTATCAGCTCATCTTAGAAAGTTTTGTGATTATTTAGTATTTGAATTTGCCAATAGCGTTGGTGGACAGCATGTTAATAAATGTGTGGATACAATCAACGATATGATATGGAAATACAATATAGTAACAATCGACAGATTAGTTCTTTGTTTAGTAAGTATGAACATACAAAAAAATGAAACATGAAGGATAAATATTTGTTATATTTTAGGCATTACGAACTCAAGAAGGAAGCGAAGCACAAGTATGCTTTTTTATTATTCAATTATTATTACTTAAAGCTGCTGAATTTAGGAATAGAGTTCAAGAATTCGTGAAAGAAAATTCACCTGAACATTGGAAACAATCAAATTGGCATGAAAAGCATCTTGCATTTCATAGAAAATTTCCAGAAAAATTTGCTCCAGAAGGTATTATGGAACAAGCTAGTGGTGGTCCCAGTCAATATCAAAGTTTACCTGTATATTTTGGAAATGTGTGTTTAAGATTTTTACCTGTGTTCGATATAGTTGTACACAGATATTTGGAGATACCGCCTGTTACAAAAAGTCTGGAAATATTATTAGAACATTTAGGTTGTTTATATAAATTTCATGGTTCGTATATTTATTAATTTACAAATCTATATATTACAAACATATATAACAAAGTTCATGTCAATTATTATTTTTATAGATCGACCTGTAACATATCTTTATAATACATTACATTATTATGAACGCAAATTAAGAGATCGACCACCTTTAAAAAGACGTTTAGTATCTGCTGTTCTTGGATCGTTAAGAGAAATTAGAGCACCAGGATGGGCACTTTCTGAAGCTTATCAAATGTATATGGCACGATCTGCTGATGATGCTATTACTTGGGTACCTGAATTGGATTATTATATTCGACTTGTACAAAGAATTGTAGAAAGTAAGTAATATATTGGTATGAACTTATAAACATTTAAAGAAATCAGTTTTAATTTTTAATAATATTTGTTTTATAGCAATGTCAGGTACAGCCCATTTTCCAGCTACTGATTGGAGGTTTAACGAGTTTCCTAATCCAGCAGCACATGCGTTGTATGTTACATGTGTTGAATTAATGGCTGTTCCTGTAGCTCCAAATTTAGTTGCTAATTCATTACTCGATGTTGTCGCTAAAGGGTACAATACAACTTTTATTAATTCTTTTTAATGATCTCACACACCACACATTTCATATTTATTATTTTTTAATTTATTATAGGTATACTGTAGTACCATCCAATGAAATACACTTATGGATAAATTGCGTTGGACTGCTTTTAGCTGCTTTACCAGAGTGCTATTGGTCGACGTTACATGACAGACTTGTAGAAATTATAAGTAGTCCAGGCTTAGCAAATTGGCAGTATAATAATTTAACACCATTTCAGATGTTTAATTTCAATATTACGCATAATAGTTTACTTGAAAATAAGTACAGTTATATGCTCGCATTGGCACATTCAATTTGGCATCACGCTGGAGCAGGCCAAATAACTACGATGCCTCAGTAAGTCAACAAATTATAACAAAATTATATAAAAAGAACTCTGATTTAGCATTGATAAAATTGTTCTTATTTATTAGATTTATTAAAGAAAAGCTTCAGCCTGTGGTAAATAGCGAGGAACAATTGATATATGCTTGTCATTTAATTGGACCTACTTTGGCAAGATTTAATGCTGAAAGACCACGCTGTGTAGTAGATCTTGCAGTTAATTTATATGAAATGCTGGAACAAGTGGATCGTACTCAAGCTCATTTAAAATATATGGATCCAGTTTGTGACTTGTTGTATCCTTTTAAAATTACTATAATGAATATCTTTTCCACACACACACAAATTATTATATTAGCAGGAATATCCTTAACAGTAAATATAACAGATATCACATAAAATATATGTTCGTTGGAGACATGATGAAAAATGAAGTAGAATGTATCATTCGTAGATTAAGACCTGCTTTACAAATGAGATTGAGATTTATCACTCATTTAAATATAGAAGAAATTCACTCTACATAGGATTAATTCTATAAATATATTTGATACTATTAAATATATTTTCAATTATTGTCATACTTTTGGACATTTTTATTCTTATTACGCATGTATATATATGCAATGTATACTACAAACTCCACAAAACGAGTGGAATATCATAAAACAGATGATAAATGGGCACGCAGCAACTTTGGTAGTACCAAAGAATACAGAAGTACGTAGAAGCTCACGTTCTCATTTTTATCAAACCAAATTCATTTTAGTTACTACCGGGACCACCAATGGGCGATAGTATGTACTTAACGCGATGACGGTGTAATACTATCAAAGAATACAGTATTCTCTGATGTAAAATGAAATTATATTTAATTTTTAATGTATAAACATGTGTGTGTGCCTTCAGAAATGCATTTATAAATATATTTTAAAAGGCAGCCACTTAAGCTGCACAAGTTGAAGAAAATTAAAAAGATTTGTTGTTTAATCCAACAATGATCACTTGTAACAAGAAGAAAACTATATTAATCATACAATCAAGTGATACGATAGCCTAATATATAAGTGGTCCAATTCACAGGTGCACTTTTCATTTAAATTCCCTATTTATTTTTACCCAATCTCTATTTACCGTTTATAAAATAAAATTAAATTTAAACGCGTGATTTTACATTTACATAAAATATATATAAAAAAAAGGAAAAGTGGAAATATTAAGTTATTGAAAAAAATATCTAATAATTATTATAAAATACTTTTAAACTATACGTTACACATATAAAAGAAAAATTGCAAATTTAATAAAATACGATGAGAGTAAAAAAATCTTAAAGACGAACAAGAAAAAAGAAATGACTGTAATATTGACTGAACGTTATTCAAATTTATAAATTTAATAATAGGAGAATTTTAATATTTTTGACTTTAACTATCTAAAAACTTCTGCACCTTCTGGACGATTTAAACACAGATTTGGCGTGCCAAGGAGATGGAATAATCCATCATCTCTAATTACAACTACAAATTAATGATGAGCAAGTAAGTAATATAATAAAATATAAAATATGACTAGAGAACTATTCTCGAAAAGTTTTAACTTGCTGTTGAACCTTTGAAAATAACTCAATAGTCTGTGTAGTTGCCCATTTGATACCACAAATTTGTGGGGGCCTCTTCGGCATTTAGCCTCTTCTTTCTTCATCCCTGAAAACTGCATTGGACAATTTCTACGTTCGAGCAAGATAAGATCTCTCGTACTTTTTTTTGTAAATTAATTCATATCTTGTTCGATATTTCTAATTCTTGATTATTAAAAAATTAATTTACATTTTCCGTTAGTTATTGAAGCTCGTGGACCATCAATGAACTTATAGTTCATTGATATATACACGAGCACAATTAAACGAATGTCCAAGCAGATAATTATCGATGACCCAATAACACGTCGCACTTTTAATGTCAAAAAATAAGGTAGAATTGAAATAAATAATGCAATAAATGTTTTTCTTGCAATATTTTCATTTCATTCATTCGTTATAATTCTAATTGAGAAAATCGCGATTGTGCGAAGTGCTAATACTTAAAACTAAGTATCAAATTCATAATGCAGGGAATAATTTTATCGATCGTGCTTGAAATTAGTAGAAATTTAGAGGAAAAATATAGAAATAATTTATTTGTTAATTTGTATCGTAAATAAGTAACAAAAGAATTCCAGTGACAATTGCATTATTTTTTTGATATATAACAATATATATATATACAACTCTATTATATTCGCTTGTTACGCGTAAAAGTACATTATGTATTTGTACATGTTTAATAAATTGAAAAAACCCTTAAAAATGTCTAAGGAATGCCTAATTAGTAAATACTGTGTGTGTCTATTTTTCTTTTGTAATATGAAAAAATAATGCAATATATCTCAATATAAATTCTCATGTAACACGCGGGTTACATTTATAATATAATGTTATTGTAAAAGTCTAAGCTCTCATTTAAAAACATTTGAAATGGCAGTAGATTGATTATTTCTGTATACACCCTGTAATCTAAAAACATCTAAACATCTGTATTAGTTGTCCGTATTATATGTCCATTAAATTTATAGCAGATGGGCAAAGATTCATTTGGAATTCTCCAAAAAGCATAGCAGCCAACCATTTATATTGTTCGTCTTTAGACGTACCAGCTAAAATGTTACCGAAAAAAGGATTTTCCTTGCATCTACAAACAATATTTTAATAAATTATAAATAAGACTTAACTTACGGGTCGAGCCCAAAAATATTGATTTCTAATGGTTACTATACCTTGTTGGTTTTTTATTTCTTAATATAAATGTGATAGTCCAGCTATAAAAAAAGAAAAGAAGAGTATTAATACGATAAGATAATTAAAATGTTATTTACATTAATATATTTACCCCATTTGTGGATTACGTTTGGGTTCATGGCCCAAATACCAAATAACATCTTCAATTTTCCATTCGTGTAATTTAGTCGAACAAACTTTATCTTTGTAACAATACAACTTTGCCTGACTAAATTCAAATAGATAAGTTTTAAAATTTTTTGATTTAACATCCGCAAATCTCAGTTCACCTGATATTGTCATGGGTGGCTTGACCTTGAATAAGCAAAAGAATATTTTAACAAACAGCTAATTGCAAGTGTAATGGTTACATCCTGTTTTGTCATGTAAAATCACTTTTTTTAATATTCTGACTCATGCTAATTGATCTATATACACTGTGCAAGTGATGTGGGAAAGAAATACCAGCAACCTTAAATTCTTGTTTGCATATGTGCTTCTATTAATTATTATTAATAGAAAAATATTACCAAAGGAACAATATCCTTGTATAGTCTATCCTTCTTTAAAATTAAGATATTATCTTTCCTATCGTCTGGATCCCAATAGCCCCATCTCGCAACTGTTTCTAAAACCCGTTCATTATGATGCAGTGGTCTTTTCAAAGCACCCGAAAGTGCATATTCTTCTAAACATAATTCATGAGCAGGTAGATTAGCTTTCTCCGATAATTCTCGGCAGATATCGAAAGCCGTTTTTTGTGCTCCGATCTACCAAAAAAAAAAACAATTATTTTCAAGAGTATAATAATTATGATATTAATAAATAAAAGTTGAGAATATAAATTAACAAATATTTACGGTAACGTTAACGCATTCTCCTTCCCTAGAAATGAGGTATATCCAAATTTTTAAATCGCCCGACGGTGCACCACGAAGTCCATTGTTTGAAACGTGATGTTTCTCAAGTACTTCTAAGATTTTAGCTTCCTTGGCCAAATCGGCATGCGACAATTGATATAATTTTGGAAATAAATGTATCAAATCGCTGATTACTTTAGTCTCTTCTCTGTTCCAATCTTCGGCGCTATTTTCTCCGGTGTGCATTAAAGTAGGCCCCCAAATGGCCGAGAGATTCTCAACAGTCATTAAGTTTCGAGAACTTTGTTGACTAAGATAATGAAGATGAGCGAGAATTCGACGTATCGTTGCTGAAGTTATCGAATCTAACTTTGTCAATAAATTCCTATAGGCTTTTATTCTTTCATCTTCGTTGGTAAGCTCTGAAAGAGGAAGTTAAACTCAGGTATAAAATTTCAAAGATTTTGATGTACTTATGCCAAGAGTACAATGGGTATTTTTTACCTGAGCTTTGACAAAGGGAATCGTGTATACTAGCAGGAAATAAGGATTCCGGTAAGTCTCGAAGGAATCTTCGAAGAACCGTAGCAACATCGTGTTCGCTGTAAGATCCTCGAGTAATTTGTATAGCCCAGGCATCTTTTCTAAAAGCTTCCAGTAATCTGATCACGGCGCTGCTAGATCCACTGCGACGATAAATTCCTTCTGACATTATTCCTGTTATTTTAAAAATCAATTAGACTTTAATTGCAATAATAATGAATTTAGATTCGCCGAAAAAAAGATTTATTAACCATGCGTGGAAATAAAGTTGATGCATTTGTCGAGAATAACAGGAACATTGTCTTGTGTAATTTGTTGTTGGTGTAATGCTGGACCACAGTCAGTAGCAGCTTGATACAAGGCATGTCTCCATGCTGGAGCTTCTTTTGTACCGGGTGCCGCTATATGCAAAGCACCGGAACCACCAGCGTCAACAACCACAACAGGAACACACCTATTATCTAGATTCGGTCCTTCCTGTTCACGCAGCACTAAACAAAATATTTAATATACATCAATCATATGTAAAAGGGAATAATGTGTCATAACAGGAAACGAGACGGATTGTAACAGTAATGCTACATAGGTTCACGAGACAGTGAGCGGCCACTTAACGCCCCAACGCCGATCATTGAAAATCCCCAAAAAAATATTTAAAACATCGGCGTAACCATAGCAAGTAAATACAAATCGATGTGTAAGATACTCATACCAGCAAAAAAAGATCCACACATCGAGCAAAAACCCGCTTTATCCCGCGGCCGAGACTCAAGCGCAAGACTCGGAAACCCGCGTTTTCGCGGGACCGGCTGTCAATGTGTTAATAAGGTCAAAATAATATCACATTTTTACATGGAATATTTCTATCAAATACATATAGATTATATTATTTTATAATTACCAATACAACGTGCTTTTCGTAAATCTAAATATTCCAAAACTATAGGCTCCAAAGATTTCGTATAAACCAACGTCCTTTTTTGGAGAAGAACCCAAGCAGGGAACCATGTACCAGTTATTCCTTCCTGCAATCAAAAATATATCTTTAAGAAAGAAATTTCTTTCTCGTAAATAATAATTGCATACCTTTTATTAGATTCCTTGTATGCTAAGAAAACGATAATATTACTATCGTACTGATAAATAATGTCTTTTTTTAACATTATCTTTAAATGTTTTCATACCTTTAAGTAAACCCAACCGGCTCTTGTAAGATCGGCTGTGTATTTAATAGGGAAAACCGTTGTCATTGCTTCTAAGATTTTTTGAGCCCAGATTCTTCTCTCTGATATACCTTTTGCATAGAAGATATATATATTGGGCCTAGTTTCACCACTGATCGCTATACAGTGTACTGTTTCACCATCGACTATTCTGTCATTATGGAGAAATATTAATTTTTAATGAAACCTGAATTCTCAGAAAACATATAAGTGTTTATTACTTATTAATCAAATAAAAATAAAAGAAACTTACTTAACATCTTGCAAAAGATGAATACTATAAATAGTTTCAAGATGAATAGTTTCTTTCAGCGTAGACATACTCTTATCAGTATAAAAAAATAACTTTTGATCGGTTAAAACAGCAGCTCTTTGAACTAAATCTTTCGCTCTTTCTATACCAACTCCAGTTTTATAAACAATCCCTCTATGAGTGGAAGCACATTGAGAAAGTTTATACTTAGGTCTATCCATTTTCATTTGTCTTAAACTATGATCACTAGAACTATCCTGATCACGATTTCTAGATAACAATTTACTACTACTTCTAACAAAATTCATCACGTTAGGTTTGATCACATGAGCCGTTGAATCTTGACTCAACTTTTTCAGTTTTTGAATAACACTGATTTTCTTGGTATCATCGGTTGTTGTTTTAACTATGGGAAAAGAATTAGATGTGGTCTCATCGACGAGTTTCCCTGTAGCCATCGTAGATTCTGTTGTTTTAGATTGAGCACTCGTTGTTGAAGGATCGATAGGAATTTTTGTCGATGATTTTCTAGGTGGTACAGCTGGCTGTTTTCTTCTTGTCATTTGAGTAAGTTTTGGTAACAGTGCTGGATTTTTACCTGTTGATAAATAAATAATATAACGATGAGGAAATAATTAAATAAGATATTGTTCAAAGATTTGCAATGATATTTACCTATTTCAACCTCGTCGTATTCGTTTTTCGGAAGAGAATCGAATCTTTTAGGTGGTTCAGGTGGTGTCATAGAGTCTTGCAATTTTTTTTCTTCCAATTCCGTAGGTTCCTCGTCTTCGTTATCTTCGTGCAAGTCTAAAGTACTTCCAGCATTACTGGAAGAATCGTTAGTTGCTAAAAGTGCTTCCAATAACATCAAATCGTTGTTTTCAAAATTATTATAAACGTTTTCTTCGGATGTCTTAGCAAATGGATCGAATTCGAAGAGTAAAGATTTATTACTACTTTTTTGTCTTACGTCCGAGAACATTGGTTGCAACATTTGATCATCTTTACTCTTTGGTGATATGCAATTTTCATAAATAGAATTTTGTAATGAAATGAGACTGGTGTTAGATGATGTAAATGTTCTATCAATGTTCACTGCCTGTTCCAAAGTTTCTTCCTCAGTACTGGATATCCTATCCAGTTCATTAATAGTCTCAGATTTAATAGCAGGAGTGGTGTCATAAAATGTCCAAGAATCTGATCTCGATAATCTCCTTTCGATGTCTGACTTATCACTCGTAAGACTAACGTTTACGTCGGACAAATTTAAACTTTGATCCGAATCGCTGGCCTAATGTCCAAACAAATAAATCATTGAAAAAGAAAATTAGAACTTTAACTATTTTCTCGTTGGATAGCTGGGTATCAGGGACCCGATAAGAACTTCAGTCATTTTCTACGTTTCGAGATAAAACCGGATACCCGGAATACCGGGGTTATCCGAAAATAGATAGAAAGAAGGAGAGGAAAAAGAAATTGTAGAAAAATGTATGTACCTGGCGTTGAACAAAATTAAAGGTGTTGAAAGTAGACTCGGGAAAATCTCGTTCAACTTTTTCCGAGATTGTTGAACTGAGAGTATCATAACGACCACTGCTGCTAGTCGATGTAAATGAATTTAATTCGTCGTAGATAGATTCAGTAGGAAGCGGGGGTGGCGGATATACTGGTGGTGGTGGACTATGTCGTAGCCCGGAAAGATCTTCCTCGTTTCTGATACTACGCAGATTACCACTAAACGGACTGTGAAATGTAATACTGCTAAAGATATCATCGGTAGGCATTGAGACGCATCTGTCATCTTCGACAGGGTCAGCAATCTTTTTCGAATTGGCATTAGTGTCATGTAGAAGATCATCCTGATTAAGGGAAGTTAATCTTCGCGTTAAAAGATTTTTCACCGATTTCTCAAGACGTATACTAGCGTTCTTGGTACTAGAAATAACGGCACGTCCCTTTAATGACATCTTCTCTGAGATTTCATCTTTCAATTGGCGAGAACTCGTACTCAATTGACGAAAAAATTCGCTTGAATTCCGTGTTTCCGTACTGGTCGTCGATTTATTCTCGTCACCGCTTTTTTCCGATTGACTCGATTCGCTAGGACTTTTGCTACGCGTTGGCGTTGGCGGCGATGGTAATGGTAAAACAGGTGGTGCTATTTTTCTAGGTGCCGGTACAGGATGTTCGGCCATTATTGACCTTGGTTTTGGTATCGGTTTAGCCTCCATCTCTTTTTCTCTTTTATCATTCATCCGTATAGCAACAAAATCAATTCATAGTTTAATATCTCAAGATACACCAGCGCTTCTTCTTCTCCTTATTATTATTATTACCATGTGGTATTGATTTCCCCTAATAAAAGCCCTAATTTTCCCTAATAAAGAGTTATGAGCTTAATTTATGCGAAGAATAGTTTCGATCTGATCGCAGAGATGAGGAGATAGAAAGTAATAAATTGGAGTAACTGTTGTATTCTGTGGTACGTGAAACGTGAGTCACTCTTTTGCAATCCGATAGGCAACATTTCCTGTTTAAAACATGCTTATCGAATCCGAGGATAGAACACTGTGTATTTATATATTCTCTACCTCGGTTTTAAGTTGTATCTTTCGACTATCGGTCGACGTTTCATTGCGTATTAAAGAAAAATAATTATAATATTAGGATTCTCTTCTGTTATTGTGGTTACCGTGAATCATATTCCGAAGACTCGTCAAGAAATTCTGTAATTAAGAAAATAATGAAAAATATATACACGAACATAGACATATTATATTTCATATATATACTTTTAACAAAAATTATTTACGATTTTTCGAATTAATAATAAAAAGGTTTTAACGATTGCATTTCTAGTAATTCTCGAGCGTTATCTTGGTACAGCTGTTGATACACGTTCCACAAATATTTACCGAAACGTCGATCATTGATCCATACTCGATACTCGATGCAACTTGAAATGCATTACAACGCATTCGAAGGACACGCGTTCAAAACGAATAACATTATTCATACTACTACGTTCCTCGAATGAATGTAAAGGAACAATATGGCGATTTATGGTCAAACAGCCAAAATATTTATATATATTTAGACGTGATCGTCCTTGTAAATGTAACTATAAAAAGAAGATCTAGCAAAATAAAATAATCACGTACACGTCTAACCAATCACGAATATAAAATCCGACAATTTATGCTATGTTAATCGGGAACTTTCAATAAAATTCTAATAAAAGATTGAACGTCATAGATGAGTGTCCTTTTAAACTTTGAAATTATACTATATAACAGCCACTGATTCACACACAGCTGATGCGAAATGAGAGAACAAAGAAACTCGGACGAAAGATAATAGAACGGAGGAGGAAATTATTCTTCGAATAATGGAAAATTGATTAAAACGTTCGTTCGAAAATATAACGTGGCAGTAAACAGGGGAAAAAAAAAAAGAAGAAAAAGAGGAACAAAAATGTGTCCAGTCAGAAGAGACATAGTGAAAGTTAAGCATTATTCTCTCAGTCAGCAGGTATATATCGTCATCGTGGGTCAGAGACCCATACACACACACACCTAATGGATGCTTGTGTTGGCTCTGTCACAACTCCTTTTCTCTCTTTTCCCCTTGACCGTTGGTTGCCTCCTCTTCACCGATCCTTCTCACTTCGTTCCTTGCATCGAAAGAAGAAAGAGAGATACGGTCAAATAGTTCAATTTGATATCAAGAGACATATACTCGGTGTTCTGATCTATGTGACGTGTGCATGATCAGATAGTATTCCTTTTTCTTTTTTAGATATTGGATGTAACTAATTAAAAAAAACTACACCATTCCTTATCACACTTTGGTTTCCTTAGTTACACGCGATAAAAGAGTTAACGTTGCTACGAAAAAAAGGAAGCATAAAAGGAAAAAAAAGAAACCTCGGATAAGAACAACAACAATAACTGTAAAAATAAGTAGCACAACCGATTCGACCAAGATCGAATGCAATACTGAAAGTCTACCCTTCGTCGGAGACGCACGAAGCCCATTATATTTCTCCCTCTCTGCTCTTCTAACATCCATCTCTCTTTCTTTCTCTTTCTCTCTTATCTGTCTCGTATACGATCCTTTTCTAATCTGTCTCTCCCACCAAACGTTCAGCACAGTATTCTCGTGTCTGGGCGATGTCGAACTATACTTGCTAAACTACACACTATGTCTCATGTTCTTTATTAGTTTTTTTTTCCTCCAAAAATTAGGATGAACTTGTAGTGATATTAAACAATTAACACGTGAACGTACTAATTCTTATGTTTTTTATTTCGTTCATTTTTATACTAATATCTGTGAATATGCATTGTTAATCGTCGGTATAATAGTTTTACCTGTTATGTAATTGTTAAAAAGAAACTATATCTCTTTGGATATGATGTATAATATGGGATGAGCATCATGAATGCGAATGATTCATTCAATTGCTGACTAAACTGTTGCATGCCGATAATTATTATCGGTGTTAGTAATGTGATTGTATTATATATGATACTAGTTATAATTTTTATCATTTATATTTTTTAAGGAGAGAGGAAAAAAAAATCATATACATATATATATATATGTGTGTGTGTTATCTTTTAACAGTTATTACGTTTTGGATGAAGTTAATTAACGATGTCATCTATCTTGTCATCCTTCTACCGATTTGTAAATATAAATTTAATAGGTGATATATTGAGTAGCTCGTTAAAGTATTTTAATGAAATCTTTATTAAGATTTATGTGGTACCATAGCCAAATAGTGACTTTCGTTATATAAACAGGTAACACCTTTCCCAAAGAAGAGTTTTCCATGTAGATGCGTTAATTCATTTGTAATCATATAAAATAATTCATTTAAATTAATCGTATTCAATCTAATGGATATGTCGATTATACATATTAACAAAAACAAATGTTTCTTGCATTCCACATTGGAATTCAACTTCAATGGAAATTTTAACTACCTTTTTAGATCACAATGGTGACGACAAATTGATTTATTTATTTATTTATTTTCACAAAATGATCATTACGTAGGTAACTTTAATCGTGGTACAAATTCGCGCATACAATTACATCAAAATCCGTATACATACACGTACAGATGTACAGATATAAACCATGCGACAATTTCAATAGTTACGATTAAACTTGCTGATCTTATTTATCGTAAAAATGTTTTCTGATCAGAGGACGGTGTGCTAAGGACGAGTTTTATTTTCTTTCCTTCGTTTCTTCTTTTCTTTTTTTTTTTTCTCTTCTTTTTTAATTAATTTATTTATTCACTAATTGAAATTTTACTATTTGGCAATTCTGTACACTGCACAACAGTTAATAACAGCCGTATATGATCTCTATCTAAAAATCCTCTTTCTAGATAATTACTTCATTAGACAAGTCAGATATTTGATAAACCTAAAAAGTCTAATTTTACAATATTACAGAGCTCTCGCAACATTTGATAAAAAAATACTATAATAATAGGTTTTTCTTCTTCTTTTTTTTCAGCATTTCTTTTTCGTATACTTCCTCCAGATCATTTACGACCGCTAATTTAACGCATAAATTTTGTACGCCCGATTCTGTACCACAATTCCAGTCATTTTATCGGAAAGAGAGGAACGAGTGAGTTTAAATATATGTTATAAGTATAACTGGAACACAGAGACGATTGTTTAAACAACTCGTATGTGTGTGTGTGCGTGATTCTCGACCGGTGAAGAAAGGCAATTATTTAAGATTTCAATTTAATTATTTTACTTTGAACATTTTTCTTTTAGCATCGTAATGTATTGTAATATGAAATAATTCAAGAGAATAAAAGATCGATTAATTAATATTACAAAATGATCGGATAAATTGTAGATAAACATTCGATCAACAAATTATATTTCTAATTACTATCGATACATTTATAAAATTTTATTTCACCGGACAAGAACGAACGTTAGTTTGTTCTATAATTGCTTTTTTTTTTTCATTTTTATTTTCTTTTTACTTCAATTTGTCAATTGTCTATAACTGGAATATATAATAGAGAAATAGAGATAGAGATAGAGAAAGAGAAAAAGATATAAAGAAAGAAAGAGAGAGAAAGAGAGAGATAGAGAGAGAGAAAGATTAAGAAATAGAAAGAGATTCGAAGAAAATATTTCGTAGGCACACCCACATACACACATATACATATATTAATACATTCGAAGAGCGCATAAGTCCTTCAATATTATTATTATTTTTTTTTTTTTTAATTCTTTTTGGCAAGAGCAAACCGCAATTTTAGAATTGGATTTACCATGGACCGTCCAACACGAGCCTTAATAAATGACGAAACTTCATTTATAATTATCTAAATATATGTATAACTATATGCGAGACACTACATATTTAAAAAAGATTAAAATAAAACATCGATTAATTACAATATAAATTGTATATAACAAAAACATCGTATGTATAACAAGATAACGCTCGTGATGGATTCTTTTTTTGTTTTTTTTTTCACTTTTTTTTTACTTATTTGTACGGTTCGCGCAGATTTAATATATAATTACTGTATTATATATATATATATATATATAGATTTATTATATACGTTATATTTAATTTAATAGCAAATATATTATCACATTTAGATTGTATTAATTTTTAAGACGTTTCTCTCTGTCGATATCCTTCAACGAATTCGTACGTCTAAAATTCTTATACGATTAATTAATTATTTTATTTAAAGATGATTAAAAAAAAGAAAAAACAAAAAATATTAAGTATACCTTTGTCGAACTACTCGAAGTATACTTTCAAACGAATGCACGATTAGTTTACATTGGTTCAATTTGTTTAATTATGAATTTTTATTTTTATTTTATTTAATTAATAATTCGTCGAAGGATCACCAAAGTGTTAAATGGACAGTAAAATTTCACGAAATAATATATTCATATATACACACACATAACTATATAATATTTATGTATATATACATATATATTATTTAAGAAATATTATTACTATCAAATTCGTCTGTCCACACGTATCGATTTAAACCTAAGAAACATTAATATAGAATATATTATATAGTGTATATGTATATATACATACTTTATATATATATGTATATATATATATATAAAGTATATACGTTAAGACACTTACTGCTACAGCAAAATTCAACAATTAAAAGATTTTATAACAACCAGTTTTTTCGTTATCTGCTTAAAGTCGAAATACGTGTCTTGTTTTCTTTTTTTTTTGTTTTTTTTTTTTTAATTGTATTTTTATTCTATCATCAAACTTTTCTTTTCTTTATTATCCCTCTCGGAGTCGAAACAATTCGACGAAAAGTTTGAAAATGGAAGAAATTATTCGCATTTCGACTAGCACGGCATATTTTTCTTATTTCTTCTTCTCGTCTGTCTTTCTTTTTTTGTTCTTTTTTTTATTATTATTTTTTTTCTTTCGTTTTTCTTCTCCGTTCTTTTTTTTTTTTTTTTACAACATTAATCTCATTTTTCTTTTATTCTTCGTCGTTTCGATCTTTCTTCTTTGGCACACATTATATTTCGTTTCAATTGATGGTAAGACATTTATGATAATAAAGAGCCTTGCGTGTTTACGATAACTAGAATAAATTTCGCATACACCTGAGACTTGCTCGGACGATATACAAGCTAATTTTTATTATATTTAATTATTTATTTGTTAATCCTTTCTTTTTCTTTTGGGGAGGTTTACTTTTCTTCTTTTTTTTTTTTTCTCTTATCATTCTGTTCTTTTTCCTTTCCCTCTTTCCATTTTTAATCACCGTATGCTGATTACATACGTGCCGATAATTATATAAAGTGTTTTAAATCATTTTAGGTATTATTTTTTGCTGTACGCGTTCTATTTTTTTAATTTACATAAAAAATAAATTACACATACGTCGTTATCTGTGTTTGTCGTTAGATAGAAGAATAACTATTTTAATAATTCAAACCTAAATTCCTGAAATGATTTCTAAACGAAAAATACATATGATTTAAATCACTTTTATATAATTATTAGTTCGTATATATACATATATATATAAAAATGGAATATTTCAACAAAGAGATGCTTCGAGCTAAGTTACTTGCTATTATTATTTTATACTATTATAATTATGTGAAATAATTAAAAATTAGCAAATAACATGAAAACGATCGCAAAACCATTTTCTTCCTTGAATACTCATTGAAAAATATTTCGAGTTAAAATGACTGATATATATGTATATATATATATAAATATAAATATTTTAAATAACGTTCAGATGTCCTAAGAAAAAATAACATAAATTCATCTCTCGAACTACGTTTAAATACTATGCAACAATTATAATATAATCAGGGGCCATTTTATAGGCAGGCGGTGCATATATATATAAATATGTATATATATATGTATATATATATTTATATATATATATATATATATATATAATGTAAAATCATGTGTGAGATTGAGATATATATAAAAAGATGTCGTTGAGAATTCATCGCTTCACCGTTTGCAATAAACACCGTTTACAAATATAAAATATCATTTAAATACAATATATATCAAAAGCAAGAAAGTATATTATTATAATAATAATAATTATTATTATTATTATTATTATTATTATTAATATTATTATATTTGTATGTGTCTTCGTATATGTGTATGTGTATGTATGTATGTGTGAATATCGCATAATTGAGAATATAGTAGTTACCGAGAGCTCGTAAATAGCGCAGGAATTAATGTGCATCATAATCTCTCAAAAATCTTTACTATATCCACCATTTTCTGCAAAACGTGTTTGCATTTCTTTTTTTTTTTCTTGATTTTTTCTCATACCTTTCTTGCTTTTTTTCGATGTTTGTTTGTATGTATGTTTGTTTGTTTGTTTGTTTATTTAATTAATTAATTAATTAATTATCGACTAGAACGTAGTACGATAGATTCAAAATTGACACACATTTATAAATATTGGCTTTCGTTATTTTTTATTTCCCCCGAACGCTTCTTTCAATAGTATTATTTTTCTTTTTTTTTTACCATTTTCACTTCGTTTGTCTCTCTCGAAAATCTTAATCGATTTTAGGGGACGGTTCTTTTTTTTTTTTATTTTATGCATTTAAAAAAGAACGAACGAGCGAACGAACATGCTGTATAATGCCTTATAATAGAAATCATTTAAATGATTAAATTATTTAATTAGAGAATATTAAATGAATCACAAAATAGCACCCTTTTCTAGTCTTAGCCAGAGTTCTCCTGATAAATGGATCATGTGAGATGATACAAGCGATGCGACGTTTAAATTGAATTTAATTATATATATAAAAAAGATAGAATTAAATATATATATATATATATATTTATACATATATTATAATTTTTTTTTGTTGATACAGGAGACACTCCAGCTTTTAAATCGGTATAGAATTGCAGTCTTAATCTTTCTCATTCGTTAAATCACGGCAGA